TAGCAAAAGCTTATGAGTGATTGAATCATAATTACTTAAAAATTAAATTAGAAAGATATGGAATTAAAGGGCCTGCACTAAAATGGATTGTATCATTTTTAGCATACTGGGAAAAATTAATACCACAGAAGGGATTCCACAAGGAAGCATTATGGGACCACTATTATTTATAATTTACTTAAATGACTTATCATCAGACCCAACTAACACTAGTAGAAGGGGAAACAATACTAGAGGCCGTGATCAATGGTAAATTTACTTTTATAAAGAACAAAGGAATGGTTTTCACAAAACAAGCTGGTACTGAATGCAGAGAAAACTCAATTAATATTATTCATATCCAAATATAGGGAAATAGATAGACCAAATAATGTTTCCTTGTACAATCAAGAGCTGAATTTAAGAAATAGCACACAAATTTTTGGAGTCCATCTGGACGAATATCTTAGCTGGTTGAATCACATAGATAACCTTTCTATTAAGTTAAGTAGGTTAGCATATTAGTTTCGAATTACCATTAAATATTTGCATAAAAAAATCTGTCGGGTAGTTTTGAAGGGGTATGTAAAAATGGCATATTGTTTTGGGGCGGAAGCTCAGAAGTTACAAGAATTTTTGTAATACAAAAAAGAGTGTTAAGAACTTTAAACAAAATGAATTTCAGAAAGTCATGTAGGTCAATTCAGAGAGTCATGTAGGTCCATTTTTAAAGAAAACAGCATAATGACAATATATGGGTTATATTATGCAGGGTGTTTATTAAATACTTGTACAAACTTTAAATAGTGAATCTTTGACTAATTTTAAGGCAAAAAGTTCGTATGAACACGTGTCCCAAACCTCTTAACTTTTGTGCTACAAGGTGGTAAAGTTTTCAGAAAAAAATCTATTTTTTCCAATAACTGTGAGACTATTATAGATATCTTTACGAAATTTGGTACACGTATACTATGCATTAAGATGCATTTTTTGATGTACAAATTTATGTTTTCTACTAGTGGCGTCCATACCTACGGGGTTTGTATTGAATATTTTTGCAGAAAAAAAATAGTATGCCACTGGCATAAATTTGTGACGTTATGTCACTATAATGCTATTTATAGTCATAGTTATTTATTGTCAACATTATTTTTGGAAATTAAGATTTATTATTATTAAAGTGTGAAATTGAATTTAATTTACGTTGGATTTTCGTTGTATATCTGTAGGTACACTTACTTTTCATAACTGGTAATAAATTTACAGTCAAACAAGTAGTTTTTTAATTCCTTAAACAATCTTAATCCTAATTTTAAGGAAAAAGTCAGACCTACCCAGAAATCTCATTTTCCAATCTGTGAAAGTCCTTAAACCAAAAGCATCCTAGGAATCCTGAAATTTGTTCAAAATTCCAATTCTATTTTTTACTTTCTTTAAATTTATAAATTTTTACCTAACCACATTTTTTTCCATACCTACTTATTTCACTATAAGTTTTTAATGTAGTTCAACCCACCATAAGATGGATTTCGGATTTAATTAACCATTACTTTTAAGAAAATTTGTTTTTGCAAGTAAACCTTTACTGTTTAATTAATTTTATATTTTTGAATTGTAGTTCTGAGGATGGCCATGTTAGGCTGAAACTAGTCACGACAAATTTATTTAATAAAACTATATTGTAGTAAAAAAAATCCGGGGTAACAGCCTTGGATCCCTCTTTTAACAGGGAAGTATTCCATAGCCTTTAATATTTACAATTTTATTTTGGGCTACAAAACGACTTCAGTAACATGAGTATTTTATCGTTCCATTGTTTTCCACTGTCCATCTTTTTTCTGTCATATGCAAGAAGTGACCATTCTTCATTTCTGTTTCTCCCCTTAGGTTGAGAAACAGTCCGTGACTATATTATGTCTATTTACATTATTATGATATAGGGTGGATGTAGAAAAGGGGTGCTAGACTTTTTGGGGTTGATTCATACTACGCCAGTGGGTGCAATGCTAATTAAAAGAGGGTTGCATCTATGACAATTTACTTTGTTCTTTTAAGGGTGAATGTGCCTAGTGCCGCTGCCACCCTCCTTTTCTTATATTTTTTATGAAATATAGTTTGTAGTGCAACGAAAATCTTTGATGCTCACACGATTTGTTAAAAAAATTAATCTTAAAATGATCGTGTTTTAAAAAAAATGTACGGTTTTCAATAATAACAAAATTTCAAACAAAAAAAAAGACAAAGGCTTAAACAATTTCTTGTTGCCACTTTGATGATACTCTATATTTCTATCTTTATGATATAATACTTGGGAGAAGGGACTCTCGACTTTGGCGCACTATTTATATACTATTATAATAAACTCAAATTAAGTAAGTTCGACAGGAACACAAAATAAAAATGGCCAAACACCGATGCATATTGTTTGTTCACACATAAGAGACACATGTTTACTAATTTATGTTTTTTTTTTCCGATTAGCAGAACTTGGAGTGTATGGCGAAATTTTTCTTTCTTTTCTTGTTCTTATTACACTTGTATTTGTACTCATTGTAAATTGTATTAGGGTCAACGCTCCCTTTTTCCTACACACTTTCCTACGACTGTGGTAAGTTCCAACCCTAATAGTATAAGGGGTATGTTCAACATACCCCTTATACTCTGTCTTTCTATTCAGAATCCTTCTGTGGTTTCTTCTGTAAAATTTTTAAATTGTTTGTTATGTTCCTGATTGTTTTTTGTTTTTTTTTTAATTCTTATTGTGACTGCAGCAGAAGACAGAAATAGTATATTACATTGCGAGTGTGGAAAGTGACATTTTTCACACGAGTGGGAAATATTGTCGCGCGAGGCACAAGCCGAGTGCGACTATCACACGAGTGTGGAAAATCACTTTTCACACAAGTGATGTACAATATTTTTCCTACGACCACAAAATAATTTCATCAAAAAAATGTAAAACCAGGTTATTATTATAATAATTAAAATGTATTTAAATAATAATCAAAAATAATCGTATTTATTCAATTTTCATATTTTCTAAACAAAAAAAAATAAAAAAAAAATAAAAAAACAAAAAAAATTCTGGCCCCGCCAGGTCTCAAATGGCAAAGTTGATAAGTTTGACACTCTAACCATCTGAGCTAATATGCCTTGCGTCAATTGAATGATCTAATCGGTTATGTTTAACCAGAATAAAAAAAATACTTGTGGCACTCGGGGACTGCCGCGGTAAAGCTATTGCAACTTATGCAATTATAATTATTTGTTTATTTTATTTATGCACTATTTTTTTTTCTTTGATATTAATTAAATTTTTTCTTTGATATTAATTCAGGTTACACTTTTTGAGCGTGGTGACCGATAAGAAAACAATCTTTTTCTTTTATTGAATAAATGAGAAGTTAATATTGTTTAAAATATTTTTATTATCTTACAATACATGTAGGTTATTCAGGAATTTTTATCATTTAAACTATAGGTTTATGGTAACTGAAATAAGAAACATAAGTTTGAGACTTGATATCCTCTAAATATCTGGAAAATACCGCGTCAATGGTGGTCCCATATTTTGTTGTGGATTCTTGTGGATCATTATTCATTTTCAAATTCTATTTTTGCGAAATTATGTCTAAAAGAAATAGAATCAGCTAGCAGCTAGTCTACACGCATACGACTAGTCGCACGCACACAAACACCATCCGAAGTCTGCCGAACTGAAACGACGTTAAACGATGCACGGCTTTCAACGCCGCACCGCTGTGCCGGTCGGAGTAGGGGGTTTATTTTCGTTACGGAATTTCTGTTTCGATTTTTCGATCTTTCCATTTTTCGATTTTCTGTTATTGAATAAATGATAAGTTAATATTGTTTAAGGCCACACCGCTGTGCCGGTCGGAGTGAGGGGTGTTAGGTTTTTTTCGTTACGGTCGTTACGGAATTTCTTGATTCGGTCACCGCACTCAAAGCCCGCAATAAAAGCTATGCAATAGCTTAAAAGCAAACATATCAGTTATTTTAAAATTATTTTAATAATAATTGTTAAAGATAAATATCTAGGATCTAATTTACAACAATTTCAATAATTTAACAATCATATCGATTTTAGTATTAATATGGACATTACATAGATCAAAATAGAAATGATGTGTTTGACATTTTGTGACAGCTGCTGCGGAAAGTGGCATATTCGTACACGGGTGGAAAGTAAATTCTTATTCATACGCGTGTGATGTAGGGCACTTTCCATAGGACTATATAGTGTGATGTGTCACTTTCCTAAGTGGGTAGAAAAAATGGTTTTCCGAAACACTTTTAGTGACCAATCATACCAAGGAACATTCATATTATTTTTGATGTTTCTTTAATTTTATTCCCGCACATTATTCTTCATTTTTGACCTACTTTTGGTGATATAAGAACAGGAGCACAGCATTCTTGCATAGACATTCATTCAATACGTTTCATTTTAGAATTGAGAATACTGCAGCCCATATTAAAGAAGAAAGAAATGAATCAATTAGGAAAGCAACAAACGCTCTTCGTAGACGAAGCAGAAAATGTTTAGAAGTCAATGGCGGTATTTTTGAACATTTATTGAAAGAACGCTATGATTAAGAGAATTTTTATGTGTAAATTTGTTTATTTGTTAATATGCTATAACTTGAAAACAAATGAAAATATGATAAGAACATGAGTTTTTTTACATTATTTTCACGTGTATAATATACTCCTAGAGTTTGGTGCGCTCCTCCCGACTCATCCTCTATAATTAATCTATGACCAATCTTTTTGTTACACCCTATATATTCAATACTCTGAAATAGTGGTGATTTTTCGTATGACTCATATTTACGATAAACATACAGCGTAGCGCAAGCCAATTAAAATAAAAAACGTATCCAGAGTTCGTAATACTGAATAATTCTGCATACCACTTCCACTATACAACCCCAACCCTCCTGAATTGCGCATCAAGTTTCCTGCTACGACGGTGGCGAGTCACTCACCCTCCATGCGCCGCGGCGCCTTCTCGAACTACGTCATCCGCAGACGACGATACTCGAAGCAAATTCAATAAAAATTTGTTTTTCCGGCTTAACATTACATATACGACAATCCCGTGGTAAACAATTTAAAATGACTAGTGTCCAACCTGTTAAAAGTGTCGAAAATGAATTCATCATTCAGCGGTGAGTAATTGACTTTTTTTTGGATTTTTATGCGTTTTAAATCGATTTTTACGTGGTGGTTTTATCAGTTGGTTTATTTTATCAGGCTTCAAAATCGATCTAGCCGCCATATTATCACCTGCTGGATGATAAGAATGTCTGATAGTATAGGGTGTTTTTTTTTTAATAGATTTGTCATTGAAATAGTGTAAAAACATTCGGGAGGTGATAGTACTCCTAAAACTAGTAAAAAAAGTTCCTATAACTATGGGTCGTTAAATGCATATTAAGGGATTTAGGGGAGTCAAAAGGGCAAACTTGGAAAGTGGTTTTTTTGAAATTGTAAGCTTAAAAAACACGATAAAACTTCGAAAAAAATCACTGCTGACATAAAATTTACTGGTGAATCCAATGGTAATATCGAAAAATTACTTATTTAATCAGAAAAGGTAGTTCTTACAAGGGTAAGGGTCGATTTATGATCAACTTTTTAGGGGTTGATTTTTTTACAACATGGGTCTATTTTTTAAAAACTACTACCTTTTTTCCATAAAAAAGGTACTCTTATTGCAAGTCGCTTAAAGCAATGGTTTTCGAGAAAATTGAAGGAAAACATTTTACTGAACCCGTATTTGAAAAACAAGTATGTATTTATTTTTTGATGGGTTGCTCACAGGTTAATCAACATAAATTTATGAAAATTATGGCGTGGTTATTTCAATTTAGAATTACCAAATCGCTCTGTTAAACAAGAGAAGCGCCGAAATTATTTTAAATAATAAAAGAGTGAGAAATTAAAGTGAAAAATATTTTATTACTATTATGGAAAGTACCGTATTTTTTTATCAAATCAGTCTGACTCTTTTATTTAAAGTAAAAATGTTCAATGTTCGCTCTTCCATAAATAAAATGCATATCTGTCAGTTCAAGTACAGTGTATTCCATAATTTCAGGTATATTACGCTCACGTACACTTCAACAACAAGAAACTGACAGAAATACTTAAAAACCAGAATAATTTTAGGCAAAATTATTTACAATTTCTTTTTGCTAAATTAAAATAAAAAAATTGTGATAAGGCCATGTACATAGCTATTGTTCTGTCCTAATTTGATTATTCCATTTACAAAAAGTATTCATTGACAATGGCGTGCCCACAAATTTCTTCTGGGGTTTGGGTTGCCACTTACCTTCCGATTGTAAAGTTGAGAGAAAAAAATTGACCCACAGACAAAAAATAATTTTTCATAATAAAATTTCTTCGACATTACTTGAAAATATTTTTTTTTTAGTGTTTATAAGTTTTTTGGGAGGTTGATTAGTTTAACACGTCACAATTTTCATAAATTTATGTTTATTAATCTGTGAGATACCCATCAAAAAATAAGTAATTTTACTTTTCGTTTTTCAACTACAGGTTTACCAAACTCTTTGCCTTCAATTTTCTCGAAAACGGTTGCTTTAAGCGACTTGCAGTAAGAGTAACTTTTTTATGGAAAAAAGGTAGTTGTAAAAAAATCAACCCCTAAAAAGTTAATCATAAATCGACCCCTTCCCCTTGAAAGAACTACCCTTTCTGATTAAATAAGTAATTTTTCGATATTACCATTGGATTCAGCAGGGATTTTTTCGAAGTTTTATCGTGTTTTTTAAGCTTACAATTTAAAAAAAAAAAACACTTTCCAAGTTTGCCCTTTAGACGCTCCCAAATCCCTTAATATGTATTTAACGACCCATAGTTATAGGAACTTTTTTTACTAGTTTTAGGAGTACTATCACCTCCCGAATTTTTTTACACTATTTCAATGACACCCTGTATATAAGTAGTATTGTAAGATGTTCTAATAACGCACTTATTTACTACATGCAAAATGTACACAAAGGTTTTGAAAATATTTGCTTGTTACTAAATTTCATCTTTACCTAAACTAACCTAACCTTACCTGAATGTACATGCCTATCTATGCTTTTTATTCATATTATTGGCCACTGAATTATTAAGAGGCAGTGTTTTCTTTATATAATTATTATGAACAAAAATTTAAAAATACCCTGTGACTGTGACTTCATGTTTGGCTGTATTTATGGATTGAACTACTCTAGGCAAAAATATATCCCAAGAACGATGCTTATCATGTATATAACAGCGAAGTGCTGAGACAATTGTCTTATTGCTTCTTTCAGTATGATTAGCTTGCGGATGATAAACAGGATTGTAAATTATTTTCGGAACTTTGTATTTGTCCATCAAAGCTTTAAATTCCTTAGAAACAAAAACACTTCCATTGTCGGTAGAAACAATTTGACAAACTCCAAATATGTTAAAAATATGTGTTTCTATAAATTTAGTTATACTAGCTACAGTAGCTTTAGAGATAGGATGAGCAAAACAAAACTTAGTAAACCAATCTGTTATTATAAGAGCATATTTGTTTCCATTCTTTGTTCTGGGATATGGTCCGATAATGAATGGGAAAAAAATTGCTAAAAGAGTCAATTCTGATAATACTGTTACCACTGTTTTGCAGTATTTTGAAACCCATCCAAGAAATTCGATTCGGCAAGCCTGTCGTGAGTTGAATTTAAAATATAGTTCGGTACGAAAAATTTTGAAGGAAAATGGTTACCACGATTATAAACTTCACAACTTAGAATACTTATCAGATCAACATCAACAACGAAGATTGAATTATATTTCCCAAGTGATGGAAACGTTAGTGTATGAAAATCGATTTTTTTCAGCATGTTTTATGGACGGACGAAAGCCGTTTTGTTAGTAATGGTAAGCCCAATAAAAAAAATGAACATTATTGGGCTATCGAGAATCCACATTTTGTCAATCCGATTGAAAACCAAGGGCATTTCGGAATTAACGTTTGGTGTGGTATTATTAATGGGCAATTGATTGGTCCATATTTTTACGAAGGAATTTTATGTAGTGAGCGATACTTGCAATTTCTTCAAGAACAATTGCCTGTGCTTCTCGAAAATTTGCCATTACGGCTTCGAGCAAATATGTGTTTCCAGCATGATGGAACTCCACCGCATAAAGCAAGAATTGTCCAACGATATTTGAATGAAACTTATGGAGAACTTTGGATAGGTATAAATGGACCGATACAGTGGGCGCCTAAATCACCGGACTTGACCCTACTAGATTTCTTTTTGTGGGGAATTTTGAAAAATAAAGTTTACAGAACACCATCACTTAACATGGAACATTTAAAAGACAAAATCAGAATTGCTTGCGATGAATTATCTAGAGAAATGTTACGTAAGGCTTCGGTAAGAGAAGTAAGACGGAGATGGGATAAGTGTTTAGAAGTAGGAGGTGGTCACATTGAAAATTTGTTTTAGTGATTGACTATGCATACAAGCTTTGTTTCTCTCTCTTGTAAGTAATATATTATTTGTTTCTTTTTTACAAATTTGCTTATAATTTTTAAAGTGAAGGAGATATCAAATTTTTTTCTTCATAAAATTTGTTCAGAAAAATTAGCTCTTTTTAAATTTGTAAAAATATAGGTATGTTTCCGAAAAAAAAAATCGATGACGTCATTACCTCAGTTTCCAAATATGGACAAATATGCAAATTGGGCTTAAAACGGACCTTACTCTATCCCATTTAAGAACCTCTTTTCAACTTTTTCCTATCTTTTTCCCTTGTCCCATAATGGAGCTGAGACATCGAGTTTCGCTCACCCTGTACATTCGTGCTTTTACAAGACGAACAGATATTACATTTTTACTTTCCTATCTGTATACAGATAATTTTATATATCGATACACATATTTCCTTAAATTTGGCCAATAATAAATTTCGGAAATACGAGAGATAGTTTTGGAAATACCCAAATGACTTCCAGTAATATCATCATGATAAATTTTTAAGATTGCAGAACGATTCTTATTAGGTACAACAATTTTCCAGTTAGTTAAATTGGATATCAAAGGATTGTGAAAAAAAATATGTTTATACAAGATTCTATTTTCAACTTTGAAAGAGGGATATTTTTGTAACAGATTTATACCATTTGTCAGGTTTAAATTCTGCAACATCTAAGATAGAAATCTCATTAACTGAACGACTTAAAGAACAACTCACTGTCATAGAACAACCTTTCCTATGCTTAATAGTGAAATCAAATTGAGATAAACGGAGAGCCAACCGAGCTAAACAACCAGAAGGATTGGACAATTTATAAAGATATAAGGAAGAATGATCCCTTTCTAAAATGAAATGTGCACCCTCAACATAACACCAAAAACTTAACTCCAAAAATACTTCCAAGTAATTCTCTTTCAGTAGTGGATAATTTTCTTTCACAAGTCGTTAAGCTACGACTAGCATAAGCAATTGGGTGTTCAAGACCATCACATTCTTGATATAAGACCAATTCCAGTTTCACTAGCATCCGTTTGGATAATGAATTGTTTTGAATAATCTGGACTTGCAAGTATTGGGCTAGTGGTAAGCATCTTTTTGATCTCCACAAACGCAGCATCAGCTTCTGGTGTCCATACTATAGACTGTCCCTTCTTCTTATTCTTTAATAAGTCATTAATAGGTGAACAAACCGTAGATAAATTTTTCAGGCCAGCTATACCAACCTATTAAGCCTATGAGACGTTTAATCTCCATAGTATTTGAGGGAATTTTATAATTCAAAATTACAGAAACTTTTTCGGGATCTGTCCTTAAACCACCCTTATCTAAGAAAAATCCAAGGAAATAAGGAAGAATAGAGGGATCTATGACTATGTTCATTAAACGAGCCATCGTACGAGGACCATTTTTTAAACCGAATATCATTCTTGTGAATTCAAATGATCCAACACCAAAAACTAAAAAAGCAGTTTTAGGTTTGGAGGTATCACTTAATGGAAAAGCCTTTCTAAGATCAATGGAGGTAAGAAATTTTGCATACCTAAGTTTACTTAATATTGAGTCCACTAAATGCATAGGATAACTATCAGAAGCAGTGTGTTGATTCAAACGTCTACTATCTAAACATAATCTTTTTTTTCTTATCAACTATCCAAAGTGGACGAACCAAGGAGAAACAGATGGTTGTATGATACCTAATTGTAGTAAATCATTAAGTTCTTTTTTTAAATGGACCATCATGGCAGGTAAAAGTGGGTACTGTCTAGAAAAAATTGGTTTTGTATCCCCAGTATCAATATCATGTTTAATTAAATATGTACATCCTAGAGAATCTTTTAGAGCTATAGTAGAAAAAAGATCTACTACTCCATTAAGTTTAGATTTATGTTTAAAAGACAGATTTGACATTGTTTGTATAGAATACAAATGATAATAAACAATATGAAAATTCACCACATCTAATATCAATATTAAATAAATTTAAAAAGTCTATGCTCAAAATTAAATTATGTTTTACTGTAGGTATAAGTAAAATTCTTAAAGTTTTTTTATAATATTATCAACATTGACTGGTACATTTATAAAACCTAATACATTTTGTAAAACCCCATCAGCAGTAGTTACACTAAATCATCATCATCATATAAGATAGGTGTATTTATTTTATGGATAATATTATAAGCTTGTTGACCTAAAATTGTTGAATTAGAACCTGTATCTACTAAAGCTAATATTTCAATATTGATTATTTTAACCTTTAAATATGGCCTCCTATTATCATTTAGTTTCTTAAAAAATAATGGTCTTGAGTTATTGTTTAGAGGAACACCCTGTATGTTTGATCCATCCTCTACTATTAGAGATGATGAGGAACTGTCATTAACTAAAACACTATCATTTTTAAAGCTATAAAACATTTTCTTATGTATGGCACTGGAGTTAGATATTTTATTAAGGAAATTTTTTACAAAAGATAGGTATTGTTTCCATTCCGCTATAGAAGGTAATTTTGTTTCCTGTTTCCTGTACCTTGTGAATTGTTTTTTCGGGATGTTTCTGGCAAATTTTAAACATTTGTAAGACTGCGGCCCGTACCCAGACTTAGAGGTACAACCTGTAGTCCGTTTTTTGAACAATTAAGACAATTCACTACTGTTTTATTTTTGTACCCACTGCGATAACATAAGATATTCCATTTAGAAAAACATGTTGAATAAGTATGACCAACTTTCCCACAGTTATAACAAGAAACATTAGCTAATCTACCTTTATTTAATTGACTATTGTTATTACGGTACTGGTTAGTATTAGTTGAAAAATTATTACTACCAAAAGCAGCAGTATTATTTACATGGGGATATTTAAAATTTGGAGATAAACTTTGAGCATCTTCTAGCTTCTTACATAAAATAGATAATTCATCAATAGTGTTAGGGTCTTGCAATGCTAACTGAGAAAAGAAATAAAGGTAGGTAAAAGATTTCTTTTAATAATATTTACTCTTCTATACATTCATCTGGCAAGATAGTTAATCTTTTAAAAAGTTTTTCCATATAAGAAATTTATAATGTTGTACTTTCAGAATTAAGTTGTTTTCTATTTTGAATCTCTAATTCTAAATTATATTGATAGTAAGAAATGTAATTTTAATTGTTCCACAAGGTAATCCCAGTCAGTGAATTTAGAACAATTTATTCATATACCAAAATAGAACATCACCTTTTAAAAGATCACAGGTACGTTGAAACACTTGTTGTTTCGAAAGACCTCTAGACAATCATAACATTTCAACATGTTCCAAAAAATCAAACAACGAATTGTTACCATCATAAAATACACCCCATTTATGAACATCTACACTTATATATGAAGGACAACTAACTTGTTCTGTAGATACAGTACTAGGGTTAAAACTAGAAGAATTATTATTAATTTTTTCTGATAAATCAGCTTCTAACATGATTATTTTTGTTTTTATTATTTTTTGAGCTGTAACTTCTTCGTCAGAGTCTACTTTTAAATTAGCTACCCTATTAGACAAGTGAACTAATCTAGAATTAATTCGTTTAAAAACTAGATCAGATTTATTACCAGTAAAATTTTCAATTTCTGTATTGACTTCTTTAATTGATAATTCCATTTCTGTGATATTTCTGTGATATGGCCATCATATCCACTATTGTTGCACAAATTACTATTTCCTGCTGAGAAATAACGAAATAAACAACAAATTTGAACATGGAAACATATTAATGGCAATAGAATTATATTTTTGCTTGATATTTAAAAAAATACATTTTGCCAAATATTTTTCTCCTAGTGCAATGGAAGGAACATTGAACTATTCCAGTAATTGAACAATTCTGAGCTACTCTGTCCATCAAAAAGTGTTTCTCCACTAACAATGTTCTGTCTTAGCGTGGAGGGATTGCTCCAATCATGGAGTCCATCGGAATAACATACGGGAGAGGTGTCCGCAGCATCAGGAGGCGAAGACCCAGAAGAGATGAACTCTACGGACACCAACCCCCTTCGCAATGGGTGCGACGACATCTGGACATGGGACAGAAGAAAAAAGAGCCCCGAGGTTAAGCTGCACGGTCCCGGTTTGCGTATCGCACATTTTCACCCTAATTGGAGCAGCGGTACCGCTGGAGTTAGAGGCACTAAGATACTTAATAATGGACGATACTTTTGGGAACTTCATTTATCTAGGCGGATTTTTGGTACTAGCATGATGTTTGGAATCGGTAAGTTTTTGTTTTTATTTTAAATTTTAATAAAATCAAATTTACAAGCTTTTAACTGATGTCAATCAAATCAATTGATCAATTGTTATCCAGTTTTTTAATCGAATTCCCAGGTAGCACTTGACGTCCATAAGACGTTACCGCATTCGTTAAACAGACGTCTATTGAACGTCCAAAATGACGTCTAAAAGACGCAGTAATGTCACATCCAAAGACGTCATAGCAATGACGTCTTTCGGATGTCTATTTTTTTAAAGAATTTGAACTCAGTCAGGCCGATATGGCGGCAGGTAACTGACGACCAAAAGACGTCATAAAATTTTATTACAAATCCAAATAAGGAAACAGGTAACAATTTAATTACATTTATTACTGTAATCCTTTAATAAATGCCAATGTCTTTTAAATTCAAATCAAATAATTGCAGTAACATTTTAGGAAATTTCATTATGTGACAACATTGCGTAGATGTCAAACTAATCAATATCAGTATTACCAACGGCACCAATAAACCTTAAACCATTAAAGGCTCTAGGGATTGTTTTTCTTCATAATTTCAACAAATATAAAAATTTAAACTTAAGATTTTTAAATATTTAAATTATTTGTCTCCACAAAGACATCTCTACAGTTGACGGCCATGATGTATGTGACCAAAAATTACCAATAATTGACGTTCTATTGACGTCAATTACGTCTTGGAGGCTACTTGGGTTCAAATAAATATTTAACATATTTTACAATATTTAAAAATATACTTTTTCTACGATCACTATCCGAAGTAAGCTTTTGCACATTCAAATCTAACTAAAAAGTTGACGTTTTCCGCGAATTGTCATAATTTAACATTATTGGCCACACGTGCACCAAAATAACTTTGACACACGCTTAGGGTTGCCAGACGTCCCGCTTTTTAACGTGATCCTCAGTCGTCACCGTTGTCCCACTTTTCCCTTTCGTAAATCTGGCAACCCTACGAACGCTTGTCTATTTTCATTTGAATTAAATAAAAGAAAGCTAATCGGCACTTTAAAACAAAATGTTAGGCTAATCTAAAATATTTTAATTGATTTACTAATATTTTAAATCATTCAACAGTATTTTCCGTAAATATTAATTAAATGATTAAATCATAAATTATTACCGACATTTATGTGTACTCAAACATTTTTTTTCTCTTCGAAGAGTAGGCTTATGTCAAATAAACTTACAATATTTTAACGACAGAAGGTAACACATTTCTAATAAAATAAAATTATTTATTTTACTTTAGAGTCATCGTAGAAAAAAATCTTGTATGTAATTCGAGCAGAAAGACTTTTGACAATTTCGACTCAATTTCTCAACTGCCAAAATGCTACTTTTTGCATTTTCTTTCTACTCTTAATAAATAGCTATTGAACTGTTCCCTGAAATAACAAACTCGTTAAACCAAATTACTGTTTCAAATATAAGTGTAACATCCTTATTCACAAAATATTTTTAAATTGGTGGATCCCACCTTATCTACACTAAGCTCCTAACAAGCAAACTCGTATAAAATAAACGAGAAATGATTTGATTTAGAACGAAAAGCAATGAGAAGTACTGAGACGTCGATATTATCCTATTATTACTTTTAAACACTAAAAATATCCAAGATAAAACGTTTAATAATAGATATTTTTAGGTACAAAAAATGCTCGTCTCCATGCAGACTCATTCACCAACCTATTAGGCAAAGACAACCAAGGCTGGGGCCTCTCCCACAAAGGTCTCCTTTGGCACAGCGGCAGATGGACCCATTACACGAAGCCGTTTCGAGAAAATGTCCCAACGAAAATCGGAATCCTATTTGACGGTATAGCCGGCACAGTTACGTATTACAAAGACGAAAAATGCCTCGGTATAGCCTTCCGAGGTCTTAACGAAATCAAAGAACCACTATTTCCAGTTATATGTTCAACAGCTGCTAAGACTGAGATGCTTCTAGATACTATGAAAAGAGATTTCGTCAATCTTCAAGATAGGTAAGTAACTGAGATAATTCTGTTGGAAATGCCGGAATCGGATGTGTTTTGATAAAATGAGTAGAAATGTTCTCAAAATAATATCTAAGAATGACAAAATATGCAATAACGACCATATCAAAGTTTCCATATAAAAGATCTATAACATTTGACCATCCTGGTAATGGTTGTCCTAAAACATAGTTCTTGAACCTTTCCGGTTGCATATCAGTTCTCCTTGGTCTATTATTGTAGAGCAACTTCTTCTTCACTCTCATCAGGATTAGGAACCCAATCCTATTTTTAAATGTTCTAAATCGTCTGACTCTGTGAAATCTGAAACATTTGAATTTTACTCATTAAGGGCTATTTGCACCGCTAGTCGTTGAGAACTAAGTGAAGCTTAAAGTGTCATTGTTAATGGAAATATGTCAGTTTAAGGCTTATTTCTAAAAGACTAACGGTGCAAATAGACCTAAAAGTTTTAATGTTTACTACTTCATCAAAAACGATTTCTTCATCTTTATTATCCATATCATCACATTCATCATGATTTTGATAAATTTTCATTTGTGATACGTGTAATATTCTGATTTGATTTGTTCTTTCTAGGTTAAATTTTTCTAAGTCATCTGTACTACCTCGTACTTCTCCAATACAATCACTTACTTTCAAATCAGCTGCCAATTCAGTTAAAATAGGCACACATTGACGAAATTTATTCGATCCAAAAGAAGACTTATATCTTTTCGTACTGTAACCCTTTTCTTACGAGAATATTTTTTCCACTTCATACATTCTTATATAGGCGACTGATTTTAATAAAAGTTCGACCAATTACTAAATCCATTAGTTGAGCATTTGTCAGGTATTTTTTTTCTCCTGGGCTGGGCTGGGCTGTGTCTCCGAATAACACTGAAGCCTATTGGCTTATTGTGTTTTACCCCATGTTAGTTCATAGCACCCACTCACCTCACCTTTGCACCTTGTACAAGTTTGTACAGATCCTTGGGTGAGTGGATTCTATACGTTGTTGGATCAACCTGGGGTTGTCCAAAAAGTGCCTGTCTTTTGCTATCTAAGAGCTTCGCATTCGCACAGTTTCTGGTTTCTTGTGACATAGTCGGCTCATGAGTTCCCCATTGTACATGTAAATTTTGTTCAAGTGTCCCTTTACTGGGGCGTGCCCAGTCATGAACCCTGTTATCACTTTCAATTGGTTCCTATTCATAAAGAGTAGTTCTCCAGTTCTTTTGGGACATGGTCTGCCTATGAAGGCTTTTCCATGTGCCTGTTTTGGGGTGCTTCCCCAATAGTTAATATGTTGTTCCCGAATCCAGTTGTTTATGAAACCCCGGACTGTACTTTTTGGTACTCCTGGGTTTGCGTCTGGTTCCAGTATTTGTTCTGACCCTCTTTTTGCAAGTTCGTCTGCCTTTTCATTGCCTTAGATCCCTTGGTGACCTAGCCCTCGTACCCAAAATAGTTTTACTCTATTTCGGTCTGCCAGTGTTCTTAGTTCTTCGATGCATTCCCATACCAGCCTCGACGTAACTTTCTGACTCGATATGGCCTTAAGTGGTGCCGCTTGGCTGTGTGACATTTGAATATGCTGATTTTTGACAGCTCTTTCATTGTTCGTTTTTGCACATTGCAAAATTGCGTATACCTCGGCCTGAAATATCGAGGAATGTATTCCTATTGCATAGCTATGCTTAGTATCAGGGTTTTTGGAAAATACTCCCGCCCCAGTGCCTTCCACAGTCTTAGACCCGTCTGTATACCAGGTTTGTTCCTGTCGTTGGGCATTGGGCTCCCTTATGGTGATCTCCGCTCTTTTCTGTATTAAAACCTCAAATGGAGTATTAAAAGAGTACCTCTTGGTTATGTGGTCTGATCTCATGTCTAGCACGTCTCCTGTCACTAAGCTTGAGATACTCATGTGACCTGGCCTAATGTCAAGATTTCGCAGTGTATTCCCTAATCTGTAAGCACCTAATCTTGCCTACCCTTGTATCACATAGTGAAGAGGTGAGAGTCCTATTAGTGCTTCCATTGCAGCTGTGGGGGTTGTTTTCATTGCCCCCGTTATTCCAATGCAGGCAAGTCTTTGTAGCTTGCTTAGCCTCGTTATTGCTTTCCTTTGCTGTGTCTTTGGCCACCACACCAAAGCTGCGTATGTTATTATCGGTCTCCCCACCATGTTATAAAGCCATGTCTGGTTTTAACCCCCATTTTTTTTCCAAAGGTTTCCGCTTTCCTTGTGGTTTTTTTATATGCTGGTTCGAGGTAAGTCTCGAGTCAATCATAACCCCGAGATATTTTACCTCCTTCTTAAGCTAGATGCTTGCACCTCTTAGGTTTAGAGGCCCTAGTCCCTCCAATTTCCTCCTGCGGGTGAATGCAATTATATCAGATTTGTTTGGGCTAATGTTTAGTCCTTCCGCCTCTGTCCATTTTGTTACTCTATTTAGAGCCTCTTGCATTCGATCTCTTACTATAGTGTTGTATTTTCCCTGTGCCATAATCATTAAATCATTGGCATATCTCAAGGTTCTGTGTCCCTTATCTTTGAGAGCCCTAAGCAGCCCGTCCGCTACAAGGTTCCACAGGAGTGGAGACAGCACTCCACCCTGCGGACATCCTCTCGCTACCCGTGCCGCTATCGTGTATAGTTCTCTCCTTTAACATAGAGTCGATCCAGGACACGCACGTGTCCTCGATTCCTCTGTGTTTGAGAGATCTATTGATCGATTCAACGGAGATATTGTCAAATGCACCCTCGATATCCAATAATGCTCTCAGCATTACCTCCTTTTTTTCCAGTGTCTTCTCCACCCCTTTTATTAATTGATGGAGAGCTGTTTCAGTTGATTTCCCTGCACTATAGGCGTATTGGTCTTGGTATATTGACCTCTGAACCAATATCCCGTCTCTAATATGCCTATCTAGCAGTTTTTCCAAAGTCTTAAGCACAAAGGACATAAGACTTATTGGTCTTAGGGACTTTGCCGTTTCCTGTCCTATTTTCCCAGGTTTTGGTATAAAATTTACCATAATATGTCCCCAAGCTTTTGGTATGTGTCCAAAGGCCAGGCTACTTCTGAGTATGTTACAGCAAACCGTTCGTAAATTAAGCGATAGAAAGACGATTGTATGTGTCAATCGTTCTTTTTTCCAGCGGTGAGTTCACCAATGAGATAACGCATCCATCAGCTTTAAAAGCCGGTGGATATGTCATGGGTCATGGAGGGCATAGTTAATCAAATTTTTTGAACGTGTGAACTCGATTATTTAGGTAAACGTTAACCTACAATCTAAAAGTGTAAATATAAAACGACTGCAGAAGAGATAAATTACTGTAAATTTAAATTAAAACGGGTTTAATTTTTGAAGCGATGTCAAATGTCAAATTTTTCATTTGAGAAATGTCGTTCGTTCTTATTTTCAGCGCAAATACCGTCCACCAGAAATTAATCAGTGACGTCATGACATCAATCACTGATAGAACAATTGTTGAATAAAAGAACACACCTATATACTTTTGACAAGTATGACAGTTCAAATATAGTGTCGAGTGTGACACTAGTGCAACAAATAATAGTTATTTATGCAACAAGTGTGTAAAGTTACCCTTTTTTGACGAATGTGAATGTTGTAGGCGGGCCGTAGGCGAGTGCGACAATCACATGAGTCAAAAAAGGGACTTTACACACGAATGGCATACAATATTTTTTCTACTACCGTACACATAATCCACTAATATTAGAAATATAAAAGTTACTTTTTTTTACTAGTGAAAAAAAGTACTTTACTTTACGCACTAGTGTTACAAATAATTTATTAAACATTAGGAAATATCTTGACGTTGCGCATGTAAAACTCCAAATAAATGCTATTGTAAAAAATATAAAAGTTTTAGGTATAATGTGCTGCCTAACAACCCCGGTGGCCTGTTAGGACAGCAACTGATTTTGTTAGGCAACACACCATACGAACACACATCTCGTTGCAAAAATTTACAGAATATTTTAATTTTGATCATTAAAAACTTGGAATCTGGAGCTTTCAACAGAAAATTAATTAGATCTTCTCGTTCAAAAATTTTGGATTTTTTTGGTTTATAACCTTTAGTTTTTTGTTTGAGAAACGCTATTAACTTGTTGAATTTCGAAATATCAACGTTGTTTTTATATTTTAAGGTGCTTTTAAGCATAGAATAAATCGACCATAGGGTAGAAGCTTTGCAATTCTTCAATTCATCAGAGAAATATGCTAAAATAACGTTTTCCGAATATTTTGTCACCTTATTCTTCCTACACCAATCTATAAATGCATTTTATTTTTGCTGATAAATATATGCAGATTTTTCTGGCAATAAATTTTCAGTGGCCTTTTGTGCACTGCATAAGATATCTGGGGGAGTATTATCAAATTCGCTATCGCTAGATAAATTTGAATCCATATCGATTATGACAGATATAATAAACTGCAAATAAAATTTGAATTTAAGTAAACAAACATTAAAAAGTAAAACTTTTTACCTTCTCAAACTTGATTGAGTTTAAAAAAATGCTAAATTGGCTTTAGAATCTAATCTTGAACTTTGAACTTAAGTATACTTTTGTCGTGTTCTGTTATAAGGTGGGTACTAATTAAAAGTTTACAGATTGACAGTCACGGCCCACTTACTTTTACCAAAATCGACATCCACTGTATGTTCACTTTTAATTAAATCGATGACATTTAGATAAAATTATAATTAAAATAAACTGTTGATAATTTGTTGGACACTAAATAGATATAAGCAAAAATAATTTATTTATTTGTCTTAGAAGGAGATAGCAAAAAAATGTTAATATAAAATAAAACGTTATATTTTGTTATGTACAAATTTTGTCAAATTTTACTTTTTTTTAACTAGTGCGCAAAGAGTTTTACTTTACGCACTAGTGAAAAAAGTACAACTTTACACACTTCGTGGAGTGCGTAAAGTACGTACTTTACGCACGGTAGTAGAAAAAATTCATTATAAGTCTCCTTATAAAAAACCTATAACAATTCAGTGGTGAACAATCTTGTGTAAATTCATACATAATCTCTTTTCACATCTATTGAAATTTTTATTTTTAGATGTCGAGCCGTTATAGTGAAAAGGATAAAGAACAAGGAAGATTTAGAGAAACTATTTTTGCCTCCCAAAATTAGGCAGTATCTAAGCGAAGCTATACCTGACATTATGCAACCTTTTAAGCCTGTCAATCAGAATGTAGATAATAACGTTGGATCCGTTTAAAGTAGGTATATCTTTAGACACGGTCTATAGGATGAATCCGTGAATTTTGTATCTTGTGCCAGTTTTTTAATATAAATTTTTGTTTACTTCAAGGAACTGAATAACTTTGTAAATACAATAAACTTAATATAGTGGTTTTAAAAAAAAAAAACTAAATATTAAGCGATAAAGCTTTAAAGTTTTCTGGCAAATGTTTAGTTAAACTAACAATAAATAGCTAATGACATACCAAATGTTTTATTGAATATAATTTGCGTGCAGATGAGAATTCTATCTAAATTTAAACATAATTTTATTATGAGGATTATCCTGCATAAATTGTTGATACAACTTAAACATTTTACAATTTTTTTCCATTCAATTCCGACAAGCTCTATATAAAACAGTTTTGTGCTGTTGCACTGAAATTTCCATTATATTTTTCTTGAAGAAATAAGTAAATATTACAATTTGTATTTGTATTGCACCCATGCTTGAGTGTGCTTTCGTTGTAGTTTGTATAGGGTTATTCATTATAAATTACCCACCATTGTTTTTTATTTAACGTCTACCTATATCATATGTAGGTATTATTGCATAACTATACAAGAAAAAAGTTTTAAATAAATAATGTTGTGTAGGTATGAGTGAATTTTGTTAAAATGCCACCAGAAGCACAGACATCCAAAAATGTATATCAAATATGTAATGATAAAAATAACAAAGAGTGGGTAATTTACAATGAATAAATCATGTACTTGTGATTTTGTTAAAAGAATTGTAAATTCATAACACAACCATCGCTGGTGAAAAGTTACCATCATGTAAAATAATTTGTAAACAATTATTATAATTAAATAGGTACCTAAAATATCACAATTTTGAAGTATTTTATTTAAAAAAAATACAAATTACTTAGAACTGGTTATTCATTCTAAACTACTAAATCAGCGAAAATAAAATACTTCAAATAAAGTTGAAAACTGTATATTGAATGTTTTTTGTATGTTTAGAATTACTGAGTGAAACTAAAGCACTAAACATTGGATTTTTACATTTTAAAGCAAAATACGTAGAAAGAACCCCGCACAAATCTTATGGAAATTGGCTTAGGTCAAATTTGGATGTTATTCGTTTCGGCATCCTGAGCAAAAGTCTCAATGGGCACAAGACTCAATTTTGCTTAATTTAGCTCCTAAGGAGCTCCAAAGCTCCACGAATTGACCATTATTTGCTACTTAAAAAGGCAATCTCCTCGAAAGTTTAGTATTTGCTGCGTTAAAAAGAAGTACCTTTTTATGTTTTTGGAGTCGCTGCATTCAAATCCAATGTCAATATAATAATGACAGTTGACAGCTGTCAACTAGCTGTCAAACAACAAGCAATAATCAAAATTGATCAAATCCACATGTAAATATCTGTTTTTGTAGTTGGTAAGTTCAAAACTGATGTTAACAACTCGATATTAACAGTTGACAGGTGTCAACTAACTGTCAAAGAGTATGTGACAATCAAAATTGACAAAATTCACGAGTAAATAGATGTCTTCGAGGTTGCTGAGTTTAAAATTGATGTCAAAAAGACGATATTGACAGTGATCAGCTGTCAACTAACTGTCAAACAGCATGTGACAATCAAAATTAATAAAATCCACATGTAAATATATGTTTTTGATGCAGCTGAGTTCAAAACTGATGTTAACAACTCGATATTGAGCGTTGACTGCTGTCAAAAAACTGTCAAACCACCACAATATTTATTTCTACCGTCAAATCGGAGTTCGTGATAATTTTTCTTTAACTATTCCTAAAATAGGACGATATATATCGTCTTGTATTATAAATAGGTTGATAAATAATATCGTGAAATTATAGATCCAATAAAACAATCGGCCTCCACGTAGTGTACATCGGGTAACGCTAACGACGACGGCAGAAATAAATATTGTGGTGGTTTCATAGTTATTTGACAGTTGTCAACGGTCAATATCGAGTTTTTAACATTAGTTTTGAACTCAGCTGCTTCAAAAACATATATTTACATGTGGATTTTATTAATTTTGATTGTCACATACTGTTTGGCAGTTAGTTGGCAGCTGTTAACTGTCAATATCGAGTTGTTAACATCAGTTTTGAACTTACCAACCTCAAAAACAGATATTTACATGTGGATTTTATCAATTTTGATTAATGCTTGTTGTTTGACAGCTAGTTGACAGCTGTCAACTGTCAATATTATTATATTGGCATTGGATTTGAATGCAGCGACCCCGAAAACATAAGAAGGTACTTCTTTTCTAACACAGCAAATACTAAACTTTCGAGAAGATTGCCTTTTTAAGTAGTAAATAATGATCAATCCGTGGAGCTTTGGTGCTCCGTAGGAGCCAAAATAAACAAAATTGAGCTTTGTGCCCATTAAGACTTTTGCTCAAGATGCCAAAACGAACAACATATCCAAATTTGAGCTAATTTAACCGGGAGCCAATTTCCATAAGATTTGTGCGGGGTTTTTTAAATTGATACAGTCATAAGTCATTACAAAATATAAAAATCCATTAGACTTATTGCAGGATTGTTTTAATTTTACCTTCTTCATTGATCCGTTGTTGTTTATTTGTGTGATATATAAAATAGGAAAAGTAACTTAATGTGTTATTTGTTAATCTAGTCCAATTTTCGTTGTGATACTTTTTTATTATTATTTATATACCTAAATAAGATACTATAAGCATAATCTAGAAGATATTTATTTGCACAATATTTGTATATGTTTTGGCCAGTTTGTGCAATAGAAATTGTACATAAAAAATGTTTAATATCACGTGCATTCCGAGAAATTTTACTGAAACTCATGTAAGACTGTTTTCTTAGTGTATAAAATTTTTAAGGCAGTTCAAGAAACCTTACTCTAATTTTATGAGGAACAGATAAAAGTTGTTAAAAAATTGTTTGGATTTGAGATAAATGTATATTTCTGACTTTATTGTACAAGTAGCAAAAAATATTGGGGCAACTCGATTTTGTTCTTTAGATGAGCATATTTTTTATGGCTTCGTCAATTTTCGAGATTTGACGTAATCACGAGTTTTTTAATATCTGAATGTCACCCATTACTAAAGCAAAACAGTTTTTCGCATATGGGCGCCAAATTGGTATGTTACGTAACAATATTTTCTAGAAAAAAATTTGTAATATTATAAATGAATATTCTTAAAACATCTTATACCAGAAAAAATGGGCCACTTACGCAAAAAGTGCCGTTTTTAAAATGGTAATAACAAAAAGCATTTACATTAAAAAAACTTGTGGTGACGTCTAACTCAAATATTAATGGCGTCATAAAAAAAAATCTAGAAAACCTGGAATAGTAGGAAATTATTTATAAAATTTCAAAAAAATGTATCTTTTCTCATTCAGTTAGAAAAGGGTTATATCTTATAAGGTAAATATTTGTGTTTAAAATGAAAAAAATATATGATAGTCTGGATATAAAGAGACCATGTGTTAGGAATGTGAATAAAATTAATAATTTCCTATAGACGTTTCTTTCATATTATCCTTTCCAAGATTTATAAGAACAAGTCGATACAGCAGAAAATGCAGGAACATTCAATGAAAACTATCCACCCAAAATAATTTTAAAGGTAAAGCTTTTTGTGAAAAAATACAAATATAAGTCAAAAATCATATAAAGGTGCCCTTTGGGAACGCGAGATCAAGAGAAGAGGTCAAGACAGGCGACCGAGACAGTAGTCGTTTTCTTTTTACAGGTACACTAAAAGTTAGATTCTGATCTAAGCTAAGTTGTAAAAAGAACGCGAAGTTTAGTTGACAAGCGACGTGTCCCATGTCATGCGTTTAAAAACAATCTACATTTTTATCAAATTTTATTATTTCTTTAACATTCAACACTACGATCTGGTCCTGTTATCATAGTTCTTTAATCTCTCTAAAATAATGAATTCATAGGATATGTTTGTTCGTTTGAAGCACAGAATAACACTCATTCTATTGCTGCGTTTGAGAATCCACATCGGATGCATTTTTTACATCTCGAGCGTTTTTTTATCCACATCGGACACATCTGTCCCATTACATTTACGTATTCGCGATTCAAATTAATTTTCGCGCGCCTGTCATTTGTCACGTATAAGTAGGATGTTTGTTTATTTACGTGTTGTGGGATTTTGTATTTGTGATTTTTTAACTGTTTTTAGATAATATTCTTATTATAATAGTGTTTTTGAGTTTCATTTAGTGTTAATTTAAGTTTAGTTTTCGTGCTTTCGTTATAAATGTAATTTTTCATGTGTAGTACGAACTAATTTGTTGGAAATATTGACCTATTGGTTGCTACAAGAACATCTAGAAATATGTATTTACTAGACCCAGGACATGTTTTATTATGTGGTTTAAAGGACATATCAGGTACCAAACGTTTATTATTGATGAACTTCTTTAAAAATCTTACTATCCTTATTCTTATATCATGAAGTGAATTGTGTAGTACTTTGTATACATGTAAATGGTAATAAAACCGTCACAACTCATATTGGAGTTTGATTCTAAACAACGTTTTGCAAAATTTCAATATTGTGAATTTGTAGATACCCATTTATCGTAAGAAACAGAATTTTATGACTTGCACTTGAAAAATAATGAATACTCCAGTTTTGATTTTGACAATAACACCATACAAATTGCAATTTGCTGGAGGCTTTTTCGCAGATTTCATTTTTAATTTAAATACTATCACATACTATAAGAAATAAACAAATTTAAAGCTAAAAAGTAACAAAAAACTCTAATTGTAATTGATACGAATTAAAATGTAAACAATGAACACGAACGCCAATGTTGCCAAATGATGAACTGATTTTGTCTCTGACTGATTTTAAAACTAAAATTAATAAATGAACTGATATTTAAAAAAAAAATCAATATAATAAATCGATTTTATAAAAAAATCCTTAAATAAATAGTATGATTACATATTACTAGACACAAATTTTGATTCTTAAATAAAAGGTCTTATCCATTTCTTCAAAAACTAAAATCCGACGACGTAACGAAATTTTGCTGCTTCTGGCAACACTGAACGTCATCCTACTTATAGGGACCTTTTACTAATTTCCTCCAGAGGGCGTATCACTTAGCTTGAATCGCGAATACTGCATCACGTGATCAAAGATTTTTTACATCTCAGATGCATCCGATGTGGATTCTCAAACGCAGCATTTTATGGTTTAAGGTTGACGTCAAGATCCGTAATCGGTAAGGAGGGAAGAAAGATTCTGACCTACAAACACAAAAAGAACGTACAACTAAGCTTAATCGATGTAAGTTAACTCAGATTAGTGGTAAAAAAGCGACTATACTCTGTTTTTAAACTAAGAGGAGCGATTTGAATTTAAGTTGGCAATTCTGTAGCTTTCTGATTGGTCAGATTACAGTCAGTTTCACACATTACTTTTTAGCATGAACATCAGCTAATAATTGATATTGTTGACAGTTTTGACATTATATAATTTGATATCTCATCCATTACTTATAGCGGATTCGACTGGCTGCATTAATGCGCATTTAGTTCGACTTTTTTAAGTGATGTTTATTCTACTGGCAGAACCTAATTAATTAAAAGTAAATTATTGCATTCGACTGAAATTGCTCAGTACCAAGGCACAGTGAAATTTTTGTTCGACTGGCAGGCGACCCTTGCTCAAAGTTCGAATTTTTTGGAACTGTACTTTTTTTCAGTGCCAGTGTCATTTTGGAGGTTAGGATTTATTTAATATCTTTAAATATATTACCATCTTCGTCTCTATTATTAGTGAGAAAGGAAAATCTTTGAAATTGATAGAGATTTAATTTTTGGTTTGGCAACTATAAATAAACCTAAAATGTCAAGTGCTAACTGTGCCAGTCGAATAAGTATAAAGATGCGCTACACCATTGTCGAACTCTAGCTCGTGCTTGCTGTGTGCACTGCTAGATATGAATTTGAATTATAAAAATGCTGCCCAAAATCAATTCAGAACTGAAAGCGCCTTGTCATCGAGCAAGAGCACTTGAGTCGAATTCGCTATTAGTTTTTACTTTATTTCGTAAATAATAGTTCTTCAGTAAACAGTTGTATTGAAAATCTACAATTATGGATCCTTCTACACTGAGTAC